CACCCCATCAAGCGTCTAGGCTTGAGAGTCTTTTGAGCGCTCGACAAGGTTTAAGGACCACTGAAACAGCGGAGTGCTCAAGGCAAGTGCCCGAACTGCGGTTTAGGATTTAGGGTTTAGGGTTTAGGCCGCCACAGTAGTAAGCTCTGCCTTGAGCCCTGAAAAGGGCATCAACCGAATTGCCTAAGCAAGCCTAAGCCGTAAATTGCAGGTGCATGGGCCTTGAAATCGGAAGCCCTACATCCTAGACCAAAAAAAACGCCCCAAACCCTAAACCCGTATATGCCCTAAACTCGTATATGCCCTAAACCCTAAACCCTAAACCCTAAACCCTAAACTCTAAACCCTAAACCCCAAACCCTAAACCCTAAAACCTAAACCCTAAACCCTAAACCCCAAACCCTCAACCCTCAACCCAGGCAAGTCCTTGGTCATCACCGACTCAAAAAAGCACATGAGGCCTGAATGCAGTATGGGGAGCTTTCGAAGCGGCAAGAGTTTAGGGTCTGGAGTTTGTAGGGTTTAGGGTTTAGGGTTTAGGGTTTGGGGTTTAGGGTTTAGGGTTTAGGGTGTTGCAGGCCTGGCCAGGGTTCGTGAATTCTGTGCAAAAAAGGCCCGAAGGCCCCCAGAAAACAAAACGAAGAAGCAGGTCCTGCTTGCAGGTACAGGGCTTCTAGGGATTAGTGTCTAGATGTGCCTAGTGTTCCATTCTCAAGGTTCGAGCTTTGTGGTCAGAGTCAACTAAGCCCTAATTAAACCCTCTGCCCTAAACCATGCTACGTTCGGGTTTAGGGTTTAGGATTTAGGGTTTAGGGCTTAGGGCTTAGGGTTTAGGCTTTGGGCCAAATCAAGCCCCGCATGCAGATCCCACTTGAAAATGGTTGCGAAGCCACCACCATAAAACAATCCACAGACTTCCTCCCGACTTTCCTCCCCAAAGCCTAAACCCTAAACCCTAAACACTAAACCCTAAACCCACCCAAAACAAAAAGGGTAAAGGTACCACTGGGCTACCAAGATGAAAGCCTTGGAGACGAAGGGAGGCCTCAAAGCGTTGATGGTCCCTATACGGTATAGGATCTAGGGTTTAGGGTTTAGGGTTTAGGGGTACCCTTTGCCCTTTTTTTGGTTACCTTGGTCTATGTCCGAATTAGGGCTACTTAGTACCCCGAAAAAGGCTCAAAGTCAAGGGGCTTCTGCTAGGGGTATAGGGGGTCCCTAAACCCCAAACCCGAAACACTAGGGCTTAGGGCCTACTTGGAGGTTCAGGTAGGGTTTATGGGTTAGGGTTCCGTGTTCAGTTCTTTGGGCATCTCAGCAGGGGATTGGTGCAAACCCGAAACCGTTAGGCCCTAAACCCTAAACCCTAAACCCCAAACTCTGAACCAACTTAGGACCAACTTGCAGTAGGAGACTAGTTAATCACGCCCTCAACCCTGAACGCTGGCCCGAAATCCTAAACCCCAAGCCCTAAACCAACTCTGATCCCCTGGTTTAGGCTTAGGGTTTAGGGTCAAGGGTTTAGGCAGATATGGGGTTAAATTCATATGGTCATTCCCTTGATGGTCCCTTTTTGGGTGCACTGTCTTAGAGGGGCCTCCTTATAATAAGGGCCCCAAAAAGGACCATATCATAGAGAAATCACATATCCTGGATCCTAAACCCTAAACCCTAAACCCTAAACCGTCAGGGGTCTACGAGCCCGGTGCCTTTCAAGGAGAAGATGTCCTCGCCCACGTTGATTTGCAGGTCCTCTGGCCTCGGTGGAAGAGGGTTTAGGGCTTCAGGGTTTTCAGTTTTCAGGGTTTCTAGGGTTTTGGGGGTTTAAGGGTTTCTGGCTTGAGGTGTTCGGGTGGTTTTGGGGTTCAGGGTTTAGGGCTTAAGGTGTTCGGGGGGTTTTAGGGCTTCGGGTTTTGTGGCTTAAGGTGCAGGGTTTTGTAGTGCGCTTACACTCGGAAAGGGATTGCATTATAACAACTGCGGGCGCCATGAAATTATTCCACAGAAGATTGCCTGCATCCTCTGGCAAAGGACAGGAGGCGTTGAGGTTTGGGGGTTTAAAGGCTTGAGCCCTTAACTGTGGCTGACGCTTGACGCATACTGCACGAAGATGTTTGCTGTAACGTCCGTTTTCCATTCCATAAACCCCAAACCCCAAACCCCAAGCCCCAAACCCTAAACCCTAAACCCTAAACCCGGTGTTTTGGGATGTGCATCCTGGGTGGCCATTATTTCTCGTTGCTTTTGTTCAGCGCAGTTGCTTGGTTTCACATGTTAAGGGGGTTTCCGAAACTAGGGGTATCTTATTGGCGCCCTAAGGGTCCATGTACCTTATCATTGTGTTTAGGGTTTAGGGTTTAGGGTTTAGGGTTTAGGGTGTAGGGTTTAGGGTTTAGGGTTTAGGGTTTAGGGTTTAGGGTTTAGGGTTTAGGGTTTAGGGTTTAGGGTTCTTATATAGGAGGTACTTTAAGGCCTACGTATCCCCTATTTAGGGCCTTAGGGGGGGGGGGGGGGGGTCCTTATCCTTAAGGGGATCCTGCTATTTGGGGTCTATATTTGGGGTCTCTGATTTTAGTAAACTCCTGTGTTGTTTTGTGCTTTCCACGCACTGCAAGCGCGTGCCCGCACGGCCGCTTCGCTTATCACAGCACTGTCCTTTCTAAGAACTCGAGGGTGTAGGGGGGGCGGTTCTGGTAAACTCACCAGACCCTAAACCCTAAACCCTAAACCCTAAACCCTATACCCTAAACCCTAAACCCTAAACCCTAAACCCTAAACCCTAAACCCTAAGCCCTAAACCCTAACCCTAAATCCTAAACCCTAAACCCTAAACCCTAAAACCGAAATCGCCTGCTTTCGGTGACATGCCTGGGCGCACAAGAGCTCCAAAAGCCAGGTCTTGGGCCTTCCAACCCACAAGCAAGGGCCCCTAGAATCTATCCCTTAATTATGGGTAACTCTATAAGCCCAGAACCCTCATTAAACTCGATACCTATACTAAACTCCGAAAACCTGCACGCAAGCACCCAAGCACCCCAAACCCTATAAGCCCGAAAAGCGCTCTCTTTTGGCTGCGTTGTTGCGGGTCTCTGGCTGTCTTTTCCTCGGACTGACACCCCCCTTAAAAGCCCTAATTTGGGGTTTGGGGTTTAGGGTTTAGGGTTTGGGGTTTAGGGTTTGAGGTCGGGGGTTTAGGGTTAGGGTTTAGGGTTTAGGGCTCAGGGTATGTGACTTAGGGCGCGCGGAAAAACAATTGCAAGACTTGTAAGAACTCAAGGAGCCCTCTTCGGCTTCGGAAAAGAAGTGTCTTTGGAGCCGTAGGGCAATCCCAACCCTGTAACCGGTAAGGGTTTAGGGCTTAGAGGGCTTATTAATTCGGGTCAAGGGTTTAAGGTTTAGGGTTTAGGGTTTGGGGCTTAGGGTGAAGTGTCTAGGTTTGGGGCTTAGGGGGTGAAGGGTGTAAGAGTTTAGGGTTTAGGGCTGCCGGTCCCTTGGCCCTAGTACGACGCTCCATGGAAATCAAAACCATGGACGAAAGTGTAACGACACGTCTCCACCGTCGAGTACCGAGTTTCGGGTTGGGGCTTAGGGGCTTTAGGCTGCTAGGGTGTAGGGTTTAGGGTGTGTGTGTGTGTGTGTGCGCGCGCGCGCGTGTCTCTCTGTGCGTGTGTGGGTTGGTGTTCAGACGATAACTGCGGGACCACTGCTGCTCGACACCTCCTACCCCTCAACATCCACGCGCCCTGAACCCTGCCACCCTCCAACTCCAAAGACCTCAAAATCCAAAACGCTCCCACGCCCGTAACCTCTAAGCCTGTTTATAAAGACCCTTGAACCCCTAAACCCTAAACCCTATAAACCCTATACACCCTATACACCCTATAAACCCTATAAACCCTATAAACCCTATAAACCCTATAAACCCTATAAACCCTATAAACCCTATAAAACCCTATAAAACCCTATAAACCCTGTAAACCCTAAAACCCTAAATCCCAAAGCCTCAAGCAATGCCCCCCCTCGACTCTAAGCCTTCAACCTCCCGAACCCGAAATGCACATTGTTAGCCGGGTTTGGGGTTAAGGTCAAATTGTTTGGGGTTTAGGGTTTAGGGTTTAGGGTTTACACCTGAAACCCCTTCACTCAAGGGCCCAAAGAACCCCCCTTAGGGGGGGGAGGGGGGGAGAGTGCAATCCAAGGTCTAATTGGAAAACTGGAAAGGCCCCTGGCGTTAAAAAGTGGGTTGCGGTTAAGCAACGCACGTTTCGTTGCCCGAGCAAGGAAACGCTCATATTCCCTCTGCATCTGTACCATTGAGGTAAGATTCCCAAGCCCTACCACCTAAAAACCCTAAAGCCCTGAAACCCCCAAACCAACCAGCACAAGCACTCTTACCCCTCCACCCTCAATGAACCCAGCAGAGTTGCTCCACCGCAACCCATATTCTCGCCAGCGACGGTGGTTTAGGGTTTAGGGCAGTTTAGGGTTCACGGTTCAGGGTTTAGGGTTCAAATTTATTGGGGCTACGCGTTGCGCGCAAGAGCAGCTTGTCGGATCAACTGTCTGCGCTAGCTGGGGTTAGCTTCGGCTTGGGATCCCCGCCTTGCTGCGCCATGACAGAGGGGGGAACACCTTGAAAGAAGGGACTCCAAATCACCCTAAGAGTTAAACCCCAAACAAAACTGGGCAACCTAGCACGCGTGGCAAGCCCTTACCTCCGGTCTTTGTTCACAAGCTGACTGGACCATCGCGTTCCATAATTGACATCCCTAAACCCTAAATCCTTGATGACATCCACAAACTGGAAAGGCAAGGTGACTTTCGGGGCGCTGGAGGACCTGTAAGCCCTTACGCCTTCAGCTTGTAGCGATACCCCCCCCCCCCCCCCCGACGCCCAGCTCCAGGATTAACTCAGCTAGAGGTGCTCTTCATAGAGACTCGTCATTGTCGCGCTTGAAAAGCACAGACAGAGTCTTGACAAGCTGCAAATCCTACTGCTCCTACCAAGCCAGGTCTGCGTCAGGCTCGTCTTCCGAGGAGGACAGCTCAATCTGCAAGGATGCAGAGGAGAGGACGCACATGCTTGCCAATGCTTTGTTGTTCTTGCTATTGCTCTTGTTCTTGCTATTGTTCTTATTGTTGTTATCGTTCTTGTTATTGTTCTTGTTCTTGTTCTTTTCTTGATAATATTGATATTGTTCCTGTTATTGCTAAACATTGTTCTTCTTGTTGTTGTTCTTGTTCTTCTTGTTGATGTCGCTGCTGTTGCTGTTGCTGTCGCTGCTGTTGCTGCTGTCGCTGCTGTCGCTGCTGTCGCTGCTGTCGCTGCCGTCGCTGCTGTCGCTGCTGCCGCTGCTGCCGCTGCCGCTGCCGCTGCCGCTGCTGCTGCTGCTGCTGCGGCTGCCGTTGCCGGTGCCGGTGCCGCTGTCGTTGCCGTTGTTGTTGGTTGTTGTTGCTTGTTGGTTGTTAGCTGGTGTTGGCTGTTGCTGGTTGTTGTTGGTTGTTGTTGGTTGTTGTTGGTTGTTGTTGGTTGCTGTTGGTTGTTGTTGGTTGTTGTTGGTTGTTGCTGTTGGTTGTTGTTGTTGGTTGTTGTTGTTTGTTGATGTTGGTCGCTGTTGTTGTTGGTTGTTGTTGTTGTTGTTGTTGTTGTTGTTGTTGTTGTTGTTGTTGTTGTTGTTGTTGTTGTTGTTGTTGTTGTTGTTGTTGTTGTTGTTGTTGTTGTTGTTGTTGTTGTTGTTGTTGTTGTTGTTGTTGTTGTTGTTGGTTGTTGTTAGTTGTGGTCGTCGTCGCCGTCGGCGGCGGCGTCGTCGTCGTCCTTAACCTTAAACACCCAAAAAAGTCAGCCGTTTCCTGGAGCACAAACTTTCAACCAATGGAATGATCTGCGGCGTTGTGAGTCAGCCTGCCCGTAACATTAAAGACGAGCTAACCCTAAAAGTCATAAGCCCAAACCATGGATCCTAGAGAAACCTGCCAGCGAAGAGACTTCAAGGAAATGGGGTGTATAAGAGAGGCTGACCTCGGAATGGTCGAATGAGGGCCAACGAGCCATATACTCTCTGAGGCCTACTTCAACCTTCGAGAGTTGCGCGTACAGGATTTATTTCTTAGGGTAGTTTCATGGTCGCTTAGTATGCGCCCTTAAAAGGGGTCCCCTTATATACCCTTTATACATCCTATAGAAACTAAGGGCCTATACATCAGAACCAATTAAAGGAGGTTAGGGGCCAGATGAAGGGCCCATGAAACCCCTCAGGCTTATCGGGCCGTATCAACCCTAAGCCCTAAACCCTAAACCCTAAACTGGCTCCTTCCCGCCGGACACCATCTGCGCAAGTCGCTCTGCGACACGCTTGTCCTGTGCCAGGGTTCTCCAGGCCTTTTGGGATCTCATGACCCCACTTAGAACCCAAGGCGGGGCCCCTGGCGCAGAAAAGGGTTAGGGTTTAGGGTTAGGTTGAGGGTTCAGGGTTCAGGGTTCAGGGTTCAGGGTTTAGGGTTTAGGGTTTCGGGTTTAGGGTCCAGGGCTCGGGGTTGAGGCTTGCTGGGCTCTTGGCTTCAGATTGCGGCGACTCAAGGGAGAGCTTGGAGAGTTCGCAGCCAGCCCTGGCCGAGAGAGACTACGCCCGAAACCCCTGGAGTCGCACACCCTCGTGTCCCAAAACCAAAAACCGTAGAGCTTTCGGGTGTCGGGTTTAGGGTAACCCTAAACCCTAAACCTTGAAACCCACAACCTTCTGAACTGTTCAGTGGGCCCCGGCCCTGGACCCTGCAGGTTTAGGGTGTAGGGTTTAGGGTTTACACCTGGCGGTACAATGGACAAAGGTCTGCGCTGCAGCCTTCTTGTGCTTCATCAGCATCAAGACCTTCTGCAGCACATGCCTCGTCACATTTCCCCCCCTGATAACCCTAAACCCTTCCACCTAAACCCAAAAACCCAAACCCTGAATCCGAAACCTAGGCTTTAAACCCTAAGCACCTATGCGCCCCTCGCTAAACCCTCAACCCGAAACTCTTAGCCAGAACGCATGATCTGTCGGTATGCCTCCGCATGGCCATGTGGGGAATGTCTGTAGTCTTTTTCGAATAAGTCTACCTTTACTTACTCCTCATGGCAAAACATCATAACGGACCCAAGACGCCCTAAACCCTAAACCCCAAACCCTTATAAACCCTAAACCCTAAACCCTAAACCCTAAACCCTAAACCCTAAACCCCAAACCCTTATAAACCCTAAACCCTAAACCCCAAACCAGGCTTCAGGGAAGGACTTGTCCTCAGAACCCAGAGTTCAGAGTCAAGCAAGGCTGGGATCTGAGGCACCTGGGAAAAGACACCCTAAACCCTAAACCCTAAACCCTAAACCCTAAACCCTAAACCCTAAACCCTAAACCCTAAACCCTAAACCCTAAACCCTAAACCCTAAACCCTAAACCCTAAACCCTAAACCCTAAACCCTAAACCCAAACCCCCTGAACCCTAAACCCTTAAAAAATGAGGTGGGGCGGGGGGGGGGTAGGGTTCGGTTGAAGGGATTCGCCTACCCCTAACCCCGGCATGAAAGGGGCATCAACCCTGCACCCAAACTCGACCAAACCCAGGAAAAAAACCTAGGAATGAAAATGGCGCCCCTTTTGTTTTTAAGGGGATGATAAGGGAACCCCAACCCTAACAAAAAAGGAGATAAGGGCCGACTCCGGGTCCTAGTTGATTCGCAACAAGGTGACAAGGGAGCTTCTTGGGTTTAGGTTTCAGGGCTTAGGGTTTATAAGTTATAAGGGTTTAGGGTTTAGGGTTCAGGGTTTAGGGTTTAGGGTTTACTTGAGGGGCCTCCGCCATGCTGGCAGCACCACCAGCGGAATGATCGTGGCACCTGACAGCTCGGCGTGAACAAAACGGGCGAACCCTATGGGGTGTAAACGGGGTCAACAAAGTTTACCTGGCCTACTCACAAAAAGGTTTAGGGGTTAGGGAGTAGGGTTAAGGGTTTAGGAAGTTTAGGGTTAAGGGTTAAGGGCTTAGGGTCTGCAGCCGCTCTGGTTCACGACGGGTTTTCCCACGGCACCTGGCCATGCTCCCTTCCACACTAAAGCCCTTTGAAAAGCACGCAAAAGCTCGACCCACAGTCCCGTATAGGGTTTAGGGTTTGGGGTTTAGGGTTTGGGGTTTAGGGTTTAGGGTTCAGGGTTCAGGGTTTAGGGTTACACGGTCCCTTTGTATTCGGGCCCTTAAAGGGGGCCCCTTATTTTGAACATCCCAACCCATAAGAACCCATGAAAAAAAAACACCCTCAAGCACCGACGATCTAGAATCTGTTTTACCAACCTTGGGTACGGGTCTTAATCCTTTGCGATAAAAACAAGCAAGAAGACAAGTCCCAAGGCCTAAGCCCTAAGCCCTACACCCTAAACCCTAATGCCTAAACCCCTAAACCCTAAACCTTAAGCCCCAAACCCTAACCCCCAAGCCAGCCCCGCTGAGCAAGGCCGGGGCACCAACTACTTTGGAGACCTGGGCAGGGTTGACTGGGATCTTCATGAGTTTAGGGCTTAGGGGCCTAGGGCCTATAGGGCCTAGGGTTGGGGCTTAGGGTTTAGGGTTTAGGGTTTAGGGTTTAGGGTTTAGGGTTTGGGGTGCTCGCCGAAGTGCGAGCCGAAACGCTAGAACCCCCTCCTGGGTCCTTCGTACCCCTGCCTGGAACGCACGTGCATACTACTTCTTGGTATATTTGCCCTTGTAATTAGGGTTCCTTGTGGGGGTCTAGGGTTTAGGATTTAGGGTGATTTGCCCTGGTAAGGTGCAAGGCTACTCTAGGTAAAACCGACAGAAAAGCCGACCTTGATTCTGGGGCACACTTACCTGCAAGCCAAACCCTCAAGCCTAAACCCTAATTAAACCCCGAACACTAAACCCTAAACCCTGAACCCTAAAGCTAAACCCACTAAAGCCTAAAGCCTAAAGCCTAAACCCTAAACCTTAAACCTTCAACCCCAAACCCTCAACCACCCTAAACCTTCAACTTGGGATGTTCCCCCTTATACTAACAGTCCTTAATCGGGACCACCGTACCCCCTAAACCCTAAACCCTAAACCCTATACCCTAAACCCCTTCATACCCGAAAACCCTGAACCCTCTTGGCTGCTCCTGTGGCCCCAGGCCAGTTTCTTGAGTTCATGCCCATGGTAGATCGACGCAATGGCTTCCTCTGCGGCTCTTCTGGTAAGCTTTCAGTGGTGGATTGAGGGTTGAGGGTCTAGGTTTTTCAGGATGTTGCTTGTTTCTGGTGCTGATCGTCCGAATCTTTCAATCCCTCCCCCATCTCGAAAGCCGGTCGCGGGGCCGAAAAATCACCTTAAACCCTGAATCCTAAACCCGAATCGCTGGAGTGCTTGGGCCTTGGATGAGAAGTTCCACGAGGCTAAACCCTAGGCCTGTCTCATGTTCCTGCATGAGGGCCTCGGTACCACATGGGGGATTTACGACAATAAGGGACCACGGAATATAGACCCCAAATAGTAGGATTCCCTTCTAATAAACTTAATGAGGGCTTTAGGCCCAAAAGTCCCTAAAACATCAGTCCTTCGACCCTAGCACATCAGTCCTCTGAGCCTTACAAGGAGAATAATCATCACAAACTCTCACAGCATGAACACAGCGCCAATGTGCAACACCAACTTTGTGCCTTGTAGAGGTTAACAGGGCTGAGGGGCTGAAGTTGAGGGTGGAAGGGGATGGGCTCGCAAAAAGCTGAGCAGAAGACCTGGGCGGCCGTAATACATCCTAAGCCCTAAACCCTAAAGCTAAAACACTCAACCCTAAAACCCCAAAGTAAACTATCCCTCAACCGTGGGTCCATAAATCTCAACCCACAGGTTTCAACCAACCCCGAAACCCCAGCCCGAAACCCTAAGCCTCGCCAACCCTAAACCCTAAATCCGAACCCCTGAAACCTAAACCCCACATCCTACACTCCAAGTCCGAAGCCCTAAGCCCTAAGTCCGAAACCCTAAAGCCACCGTATACTCCCCAGCCCCCAAGTCCGAAACCCTAAGCCCTAAACCCCAAAGGAAACCCAAAACCCTAAACCCCAAACCCTAAACCCTAAACCCTAAACCCCAAACCCTCGGAAACCCCCAGGTGCTTGCAGAGTCTCCGTGCATCCGTCCACGACGTGCTCCCAGGTGAAGCCAACGAGGATTGACAGACCGGTCACCAAGTTCTTGACCTCGAGAGCTCGCAGCGTAGGGTTTAGGGTTTAGGTTTAGGGTTTAGGGTTTAGGGGTTTAGGGTTTAGGGTTTAGGGTTTAGGGTTTAGGGTTTAGGGTTTAGGGTTTAGGGTTTAGGGTTAGGATTTAGGGTTTGGGGCTTCGGATTAGGGCTTTTAGGATTTTTGGATTTTGGGGTTTTAGGGTTTTCAAATCCAGGATTTAGGGTGCTAGAGTACCCATCGGCGAATCGGGGCTGAGCGGGCTTGTAGAACACAAGGATTGTGGAGTGTAGGGTGTAGGGTGCGCTAGTTCAGGATAGCATTACAATCTAAATTTCTGTTCCTTATTGAGTTTAAGTACCTGTAAAGATGACAAAGTGTAGAGCTCAATAAGCCAGGATCATGCGGACTTTTAGGGATGCTGCCTTGAAGACCATGGGGCACATCATCCACATAGCTTCGTTGGGATTTCAGTGGCATGTGAATAATGGTAAATATAGAGATATGCACATCTATAAGTCTATATATGCACATACAAACTTCTTCTCTCTCTCTCTCACACACACACTCGCACAACCCTAAACCCTAAACCTGCGCGGAGCCATCCGTCAACCTCATGAGACGCCAAACAGCACAACTGATCTTCAGCCTGCCGCCCCTCAATCCTGAGCGGTAAAACCCTTAAATGCCCATACTGGAGTGGCACGTTGCGAGGTTGTTGTGTTTCTCTATCATGGTGAGGGGGCTGGGTGGTTTAGGGGACTAGGGCGTGAGTTTGGGGCAGGGCTCTGGGTGTGGGAGGTTTGGGGTTTCTGGGGGGGGGGGAAGGATGAAGGCCCCGAGCTTTTGCAGCCCTACAACCTGGACCCCGAGTTTCTTTTTTCTGGATACCTTTCCTTCTTCCTCCGGGACCATGGCTCACACGAAGGAAAAGGATGGTCCATTGGTCCATGGCTTTTCTGGATACCTTTCCTCATTCCTCCGGGACGATAGCTCACACGAAGGAAAAAGGATGGTCCACGGCTCTTGTGACTTCCTGGTGCATGGAGGGGACTGGCGGAGTGGACGAAAAAAACCCTCTAAACCCCCGAACTCCGAGCCCGGAACTCAAGCTACAAAATCCCCCACGTTCTACGCACTCCCTGACTCCCATGCAGGCACCAAATCGTCCGGACTTTAGATTCATGGCTCCCGTTGCCAGGTTGTGGCGCGAGGAGAGGAAAAGGGAAGGAAAGGGACTCGGCCTAATTCGGCCAGAGAAAGGGCCACGACCTGACGGTGTTCGGTTTGGCTGATTGGGGGGCCGTTTCGTACAGTGGACACAATGCCTCGAAAGCCGAACCCTAAAGGTTAAGCCCTAAACAGGGGGGCTCGGCCGCTAAAAACCCCAAGGACATCACACCCGTTCTAGCAACCCGAAACGCAGAGTTTCCCCAGTTGGCCATGTCCAAGCCATAAGAGTCATAAGAGTGTAAGGTTTCGAGCTTCAACGCCTTGGGCTCAAGCTGGGTTTAGGGTTTAGTCAAAGGAAGCTTCCGGAGCCTATAAAAAGCGTGCCCCTATCACATAAGATCGGGTCCCTTGGGTAAGGAGAGTATGTAAGTTTAGGTGTTTTTCAAGGAGAGGCTATGTAAGATCAGGTCGTGTGGGTAAGGAGAGTACGTAACCTTTGGTGTTTTTCAGGGAGAGGCTAAGAGCAGGCTGCCTGACTTCTAAGTTCTGGTGTTTTTTGGCAGATGCTGCATGGGTCTCCTGCACAGGTTTGTGCGGGCTTCAACACGGGCCTCCTACGGGGACCCTTGGCAACTTGCGGGCTGCTTACGTGCCACCTACGTGCCACTTACCACTTACGTGCCACTTACGGCCACTTACGTGCCGCTTACATGCCACTTACATGCCGCTTACGTGCCGCTTACGTGCCGCTCAGGCCCCTTGCGAACTTACGGGCCCCTCATGGGCCTTCGCGCCACTTACAAGCCTATATAGAGCCATTCGCGAGCCACTTACGGGCCTCTCGCTGCTTCGAGCCTTCTGCGGGCCTGGTCTTGGAGTTCGAGCGACGAGAGCTTGCGTGACGAATGCTGCGCCCGTTCGACTGACAAAAAATCGGGGCCCTGACTAACCCTGGATCGGGTTGAATTCTCACGAGAGCTTACTCAAAGACAGGGTCGACGCAAAAACATGCTTACACAGGATAGCCAAGCCTCAGTCCTTTTTGACCTTACAAGCTTCTCATTTGCTCTTCCCCGAGACATCCCCTCACATGTGCCTCACATGCCACTCACCAGCCACTCACCGACCCAACCGCAACCTCTTATATGATAGGGGCACGCTTTTTATAGGCTCCTTATCCTTCCTTTGATTTAGGGTTTAAGGTTTCGGGCTTATGGGCAACCCTAAACCCCAAAACCCCAAAACCCCAAAACCCCAAAACCCCAAAACCCCAAGCCCCAAACCCTAAACCCTAAACCTTAAACCCTAAACCCTACTGTAAACCCTAAACCCTAAACCCCAAACCCCAAAACCCCAAAAAACAAGCATCATCACACCAGCTTCCAGGCTTGAATGGTACGTGGCCCAACATCCCGTGGTCTCGGCTTGCCTTCGAAACCAGCTCTAAAACGCCAACTTCCACGCTTAAGGTTTGGGGGTTTGAAACTGAGAGGCTCTAGGTCTAGCCCTAAACCCCAAACCCCAAACCCCAAACCCTAAACCCTAAACCCTAAACCCTAAACCCCAAGGCTTGGGCAGGTGGAGTGCAAGTAACCCTAGAAAAGCCCTCTCGCCAACTTCTGGTGCAACTCTGGCCTCTAGACTCTTCTTTCACATTGGCGACTGGTCCCCAAGACCAACCCCTACAACCGAATTCTCTCAAACTCACCTGGGGGAGACTTCCCAAAAAAAAGGGCTAAGCTTCTTCGCATGAGCAGCAGCCAACCTATAGAAGCCCTAAACCCCAAACGCTAAGCCATCTGCCTGTTTGGGAAGTTCCCCAAATGCTGTTGCCAGCTTTCATTCCAAGGACCGTCAGCGGCCAGCTTCCGCAGGCAAACATTTGCTTTTGTGGGTTAAGGGTTTAGGGATTATAGGGTTGTAGGGTTGCAGGGGTTTGGAATTCTTGGGTTTAACATGAGCACTCAGATCACTCTCACCCATCCCCGTCGGCAACGGAAGGTTTCGGCATTCAGGGTGTCCATCTGCCCTTGACCCTAAACCCTACAAAGCCCGAAACATCCTTCAACCCTAAACCCTAAACCCTAAACCCTACACCCTAAACCCTAAACCCTAAACCCTAAACCCTAAACCCTAAACCCTACCCCCTCAACCCTAAACCCTAAACCCTAAACCCTATATACCCTAAACTAGGGGAGTTCTGGGTTTGCGGCTGACGGGTCACAGATGCGGGGCTCAGTAGAGAGGCTGGAAGAGACGACTATTCCTGGGGCATTTGGGTTTTGATGGCTTAAGGTTTCATGGTGGGCTCTCAGAAGCTGTTGGCGACTTCTCTTGGTACCGGCCAAGTCATGCCGTTTCCATCAAGAGGACAGAACGGACTTTGCCTTCAAAATCAAGTCTCAGTCTCGTGCTGAATTAGTAGCGCCAATCACAATACGTGAAGGCAGCCAGCGCAAGCGATTGCGCACGCCTTGTTTATAAAAAATGCCGACAAATGGATCCAAGTACACCGACTTATAGGGACTGCTGGGGCCCTCGAGTACCCTTTGGGTGTCACAGAGTTTAGGGTTTGGTGTTGATTGCATGGATCCTTTGGGCAAACTTCGAAGACTGCTTCAGAACCAGAAAATGGCCAGCTCCCTTTTGTAGAAAAAACACTCCGCAGGGATCATGATGCTGCCGAGACGTCCCGAGGGTCCTAGACAGACCGCGATCGTCGGTGTCGTCCCGGTACGCGGGTGTGGAACTGGATGAAGGTGCGTTCCACCGGACATTCTGAAGATCCTGCTGTGTTTGGAACTCTTGGTAGCCCAGTAACCACCTTAAAACAAGGGCACACTTTTTGGGGTTGGTTTTCTTTGTAAGGGAAACCTTGAACCAAACAAAAAGGGTAAAGGGTACCACTGGGCCACCAAGAAGAACCGTAGGTTTTTTCAGCGCGTTTGGGGGCTCCTTGTAGTGTACTCGGAACAGCAAAACACCAAAAGGAGCGGAACAGCTCATGGGCCCAGAAACCCTGAAACCTACACCCTGACCCTACACCCTCCTCCCTCCACCCTGCACCCTCCACCCTCCACCCTACACCGCACACCCTAAACCCTAAGCCCTAAACTCAAACCCCGGTCCTAGGGAAACCGCACGTGCCCATTCGGTACTTAGCTCACCAATGCTCTCGAGGTCGTCGTCGTCGTCGTCGCCGGTGGTCTGGGAGATCACGTCGGCTGGCTCCTCCTGCTGTATATATTTGTACATGTATATGTATATCTATATATATATATGTATATATATATGTATATTTATATTTATCGTTGTATTTATATTGATAATTACATTTATATATGTGTTTCGTGTGTATTATACAATATTTCATGTTATAGTGGGACCTATATGTATGTATATATATATATACATATATATATAGACTCCTTTTGGGTTGGGGTAATTATAAGGGATCCTACTACTTGGGGGTCTATCTTGCAGTCAACCTACACTTGGAGGTTCAGGGTACTTGCGTGTACTTATAACCCCCTTCTGAGCCCCCTGAGTACCCTGAGAGGGTTATCATTGGTTTATGGGAATAGTTGTTTGTGGGTTATTAAGTACCATGAACCTCCAAGTGGGGATTCCTTTTTGTTTTTGTGATTTGGGTAATTTCCCAAAACAGGGGTATCCCATGTATACCCCAAAGAGAATAGAATCCCCTTAAAGGGACCCCCCCCCAAAAAAAAAAAAAATGTATTCCTGCTTAGAGGACACAAGTTGGGAAAGTACCCTTAGCCACCCCCTGCTAAACCCTAAACCCTAAACCCTAAACCCTAAACCCTAAACCCTAAACCCTAAAA